CCATCCGGTATTTCTCCTTTTCTTTCTGGCTCATTTTACTAAGCAAGATCCCTTCCAGCTCCATCCATGTTGCTGCAAAAGGCATGTGTTTATTTATTTATTTATTTGTTGGTTGGTTGGTTGGTTGGTTGGTTGGTTGCTGAGTAATATTCCATTGTGTATATGTACCGCATCTTTTTAATCCAGTCATCTGTTTTTGGGCATTTGGGTTGTTTCCATGTCTTTCCAATTGTAAATAATTAATTCTTTAAATTTAACATTTAATGTGATTTATATGTTCAGATTGGTTCCCAGACTTCCATTTTAAACTGGTTGTTAACATAAAATTGTTCTTTTTCATTTTGATTATCTCTTGTTTATGAGTGGAATGAATATATACCATTGTAGTCTTTTACTGCTCATAACATTATTCACATCAAAACCATGATAATTTAACTTTGAAATGCCATGTTCAATTGTTCTCAAAAGTGAGAATGACACTACTTAAATCATCCTGTATCTTTCTACCTGCAGCCTTGGTCTCCCTTTGTTTCAGAGCAGTATTTTACTCTTATCTTGAATGCTATATTTTGATAATTAAATGCCATCTCAATTTTTTATTTTCAAAACAGAATCTTAGAAATAAGAGTGAGGAAATTACTTTCAAAAATGATTATCAAGTAAGGCATCATGGAAAAGGTGACATTTGATGGGCTTATTATTAATAGTTACAATGACAACAAATAATACTAACACTTACAGTGTTCATCCCAGATATTAGTGAATATTACTTGTAATATTTCATATAATCCTTTTAACCTCATGTGATGATAGGTAGTACTAATCATCCTTGTTCACAGATAAGGAAGCTAAGATTAAGTCAACAATTTCCAAGGACGCCCTGAAGGTAGTAAGTGGGATGGCTGATATTAGAACCTCCTAGGTACCTCAAAAGTCATGTGACCCCACTGGTTCTATTAGAGTATGTGACAATCTGGGCCTCTCTAGGGCACGGGTTAAAGTCTCAGCACTACTGAGCAATCACTAGCCACCGAGGCATGAGTTCCATCTCCAGCCAGGGAGCAGACCATCATGGTGCAACAGACCTCTCGTCTCCCTCGCTGCTCCCCTCAGCAGTGTATTTCAGTATATTGCCTGTCCTGCTCCCCACTCTGTCTCTGGTGAAGCCTCTCGCCGCCCCTGAGCATCTGGCCTGTACCCCAGTTCTGTATGCACAAATAAATAAATCTTAAAAAAAATGGAAAAAAAAGAAATAAGGCTTCGAAACTATAACTCATAGGTTCTACCTCTGCCACTATTAAAGGAGAGTGAGCTTACCCATCTTCAAAATGAGAAAAATAAACAGCACCTACCTAATAGAAAGTTTTAACTTAAATGAATAAAATTAATTAGCAAAATTAATTCAAATTTATAAAATACAAAATTGCCTGGCATACAGTAAGTACCACATGAAACAAGTTAAAGTGAAATTTTTTTTAAAAAAAGATTTATTTATTTATGCATACAGACCTGGGGTACTGGCCAGAGGTGCGGGGCAGGTGAGAGGCTTCACCTGAGATAGAGTGGGGAGCAGAACGGGCAGATTGAGGAAATACACTGCTGAGGGGAGCAGCGGGCAGGTCAGGAGAGGTCTGCCACGCCATGTGGGTCACCTCTGGGGCAGGGATCGAACTCATGCTGAAGTGGCTTTAACTTCTTAGTGCTGTGTTTTAACCTGCTTTGCCACCATGGAGGGCCCTAAAGTGAAAATATTTTTAAGGGGAATATCTGTTAGTCACCTTGATGTGCTGATTTGTTGGTCAAGACAGAAAGCTTCTCTTCCTACATGAGTAGAGATGGGAATAGTTAAATGGAGATGACCAGATATTTGTAGTGATCAGATGATCACTGATTTGAATTAAAGAAATGTAAGTGTCCTGATATACTTTTTGTTCTCTCTATTTAAAAGTACCCCTATGAAAACAAGAAGACAATGCCAGGTTAATCTTCAACATTATTCATTTTTCCAAAACCATATTTTCATCTCAATTGTAAAGATCTCTTTGGAATAGAAGACTTAATGCTGTCTTCTAAATTTTCTTTTTTTCAAATCAAACACCCAGAAACCATGGATATCAATGTTTTAAAAACTTCTCCTGTTTGAGCAAATGTTTATTCTCCACAAGTAACAAAGACTTAAAGTGAATTTCTTTTCAGTGTGTTAAGTCTACATTTTTAGATTCTGGAATGCTGAGCACTACGCAATATATTTCCAATATTTTCTTTTACCTGAGAGCAAATCTCTCACTAAGTTTATAATCCTTGGTGACCAAGCCTTGGTTACTCTGATATAGCTAGTAAATATTACCTGGCATATTGTAGTTTGAAGAAATGAAAATTTTAATACACAACACATTATTCAGAAACTGAAGTATGTCTAGGTTAGGTTTACCATAAAAATTAGAAATTAAAAATTCCAGGCCCTCCCTGGTGGCATGGTGGGTTAAAGCACTGCACTAAGAAGTTTAAGCTACTTCCGCATGAGTTCAATTCCCACCTGCCCCGGAGGTGACCACATGGCGTGGCAGACCTCTCCTGACCAGCCTGCTGCTCAGCAGTGTACTTCGCCGATCTGCCTGTTCTGCTCCCCACTCTGTCTCTGGTGAAGCCTCTCGCCACCCCTGAGCCTCTGGCCTGTACCCCAGTTCTGTATGCACAAATAAATAAATCTTTTTAAAAAATTAGAAGAATTCCACTGTAATTAGAATTTGAGATTAACAAAAAATAATTTTTAGTGTAAGTATATCCCAAGTATTGCATAGTGGATAAGTACACATATACTGAAATATTACTTATTACTTTTCTGAAATTCTAATATGACTCAGTCACCTGTCATTTGTTAAATCAGGTCACTCTAGAATAGTTATTGCATTAAAGATTTACTCATTAATTTAACTAGTCATTTACCAACAATATTTACTGCTTCATTAAATTATTAAGTGATGGATTGCATGTGCCAGGAACAATTCTGTGTTCTGGAACTCAGAAATAAATAACACTGGCAGACCCTTAACTTCATGGAGCATATATTTCAATAGGAGCTGGGGAAAATAAAAATAAATAAGTGCTATATTAAGTTGACAAGGTAATTTCAGTTAATGATAAGTGGCAGGCTAAACATAAAAGTAGAGAGAGAATAATGAATTAGGGACTAACTTAGTGTATGTGAGTCTTCATTAAAAGATGACAAGAAATGGTCATACAAAGAATCAGGGGAAGACCAAGAAAGAAATAGCAGCAAATGCAAAGGACTGTACATAGAAATGAATTTGACTGTTACAGAAAATAAATGAAGACCATGAGTATATAAAACTAAAAAACTTCCATGCAACAAAGGAAAACATCAACAAAATAAAAAGAATGGTAGAAATACTTGTAAATCCTGATTGAAGGGAATATAGAAAACACAAAGAATTTATACAACTAATAGCCAAAAACAAAACAAAGCCTGCAGTACACAAAGACTCAATAGCTATTTGCCCCCTCCCCCCTACAGAAGACATAGTGATGGTCAACACGTGCATCAAATATCTAGAAGTGTTTGGCATCGACAATCTTCAGGAGCCTGAAAATCAAATCACTAAAATGGTATCATCTTATAGCTTATCGGGGACAATTTTATTATTTTTTTCTTTGCCTGCCTATTTTCTTACTTTAGCATTCCCTATTTTTTAAACTTTGTCTTATTAAGTTATTATATTAATTTAACTAAATTATTAATTAATAAATTATTAATTATTAAAATGTTATTTATTTATTAAAACTTATTTATGCAACAGAACTGTGTACAGGCCAGAGGTATACCAGGAAGGGCCCTAAAACTTTATTTATTTAAAAAAATATATTACGTCATCCTTCATTTTTGTACAATGTATGGTTTCCCCATGAATTTCCCAAAACCAGTTCCCTGTGCTCCTCCCAACCTGTCCTGATCCTTCGCCCTCATAGGAGGACAAGTTTAGAAAGTGTTGAGAATGTGGAGGAAAGGGACCCCTTCATCAACTAGAACAATTAATAAAGGGGCTGATATGATCTAATCTGTTTGTCAAAGACCTTTTGGGATCCTGAGTAGAAAATGAATGGGTGGGGTGAGACGGTAAAAGTGAAAGCAGAACACCAGTTTAGAAAGTAACACCAGGGGCCCTCCTGGTGGCACAATGGGTTAAAGCACAGCACTATGACGCTGTCACAGCCACTGCAGCATGAATTCGATTCCCAGCGAGGGAGCTGACCCATATGGCACAGTAGAACCTCTCCTGACCAGCCCGCTGCTCCCCTCAGCAGTGTACTTTGTCGATCTGCCTGTCTCCCCACTCCGTCTCTAGTGAATCCTCTCACCCTCCCACCCTCAACCCCCCCACACACACCTCTGACCTCTACCCAGCTCTGTATGCATAAATAAATAAATCTTAAAAAAAAAAAAAAAAGAGGGGCCGTCCTGGTGGCACAATAGGTTAGGACGCAGCACTGCAAGGTAGCCACAGACACTTCAGTGCGAATTTGATCCCCAGCCCTAGAGGTGACCCACATGGCGCAGCAGACCTCTCCTGACCCGCCCACCGCTCTCCTCAGCAGTGTACTTGTCCATCTGTCTGTTCTGCTCCCCACTCTGTCTCTGGCAAATCCTCTCACTGCCCTTGCACCTCTGGCCTGTACCCCAGGTCTGTATGCATAAACAAATAAATCGTTGTTTATTTTTTTTGTTTTTTTTTTTTTGAAAAAAGAAAGAAACCCCAAGAGCAAAAGTAAAAGATGCTATGGACTCTGACCAGACTAGTGACAGAGGTGGATGAAACAAAGTCAATTTTGAAAGCAGATGTAGTAGTATGAATGATTTCATCTCTGAGATTGAAGGGGAGAATTGAGAGGAAACATCCACTATTCCTCTTTCAAGATGTACTGATACTCTATATAAGCTGTATGCAAAAAATAAATTCATCTTCTGTGTCCTTTTCTGTCAGCTGCCTATTTTGGCATCTTCGGTGGTTAGCCTGTACTTCCTGGAACTCACGGATGTGTTCAAGCCTGTGCACTCCGGGTTCAGCTGCTATGACCGGAGTCTTAGCATGCCCTACATTGAACCCACCCAGGAAGCAATTCCGTTCCTCATGTTGCTTAGCTTGGCTTTTGCTGGACCTGCAATTACGGTAAGAATTACTCCCACATTGTTTCTGTTAGCCCAATCAACTAAAAATGACCACATTTGTGTAATTAAAGTCAGATAAATGCAAATCAAAAGTGAACTCTAAATACAGGCAAACATATCTTTGAGATGTTTCAACAGTGACATGTGGGATACTTATAAGTTGAAAATCACTGGCGATAAAAGTTAGAGAAGATAGGGTCCTCCCAGGTGGCACAGTGCGTTAAAGCGCAGCACTGCAAGCTAGGGGCAGCCGCTTCAGTGCCTGTTCGATACCCCGCCCCCAGGTGACCCACATGGCAGACTTTCTCCTGTCTCCCCCGCTGCTCCCCTCAGCAGTGTACTTCATCGATCTGCCTGAATTGCTCCCCACTCTGTCTCTGGTGAAGCCTCTCACCCTCCGCACCTCTGGTCTATACCCCAGTTCTGTATGCATAAATAAATACATCTTAAAAAAAAAAGTTTGAGAAGATAATAGAGCTGCAAAAATGATCGATCCTTAATGCATACTTTGGTAAATAATTCTGAAAACAAAAAGAGTTGCAGCTGCATGATTCTATTTGAATGACTACCATGTCTTCCCAATACACTTTCTAATTAATGTATTTTTTTCATGTTTATTGGATATCTGAAGTCTGGAAAACTGGAGGAATAACCCAGATTATTATATAGTCAATAGCCTTTTGTTTCAAAAGTGCATAATGACATCACTTACAGTTTAACTTGTTTACTAAGTTAACAGTTTTTACTGATTAGGAGCACTAAACATCAACAAATGTAATGTAAAAAGGACACACTTCACATTCCTGAAACATGCACACACATGGACACACACGCATAGGGTTAAAACACAGCTAGGAAGCTGGCCCCAGCAGCTTCAGCACAAGTTCGATCCCCAGTCAGGGAGGTGACCCACATGGCACAGGAGACCTCTCCTGTCTCACCCACTGCTCCACTCAACTCATTGGTCTCCCTGTCCTGCTCCCCACTCTGTCTCTGGTGAATCCTCTCACTGCCCCTGCACCCCAGTTCTGTATGCATAAATAAATAAATCCTTAGAAAAAAATACATGTAACAAGAAGTGCTCTAACCTACTAGAATGGAACGAAAAGTTGGTTAGTTTTAGTCTTCTAAAATACACATTGTGAATAACATACTTTTAGATAAATTCAACAATAATAAGACTGGCCAACCCTTTCCTCCATCTTTCTGTCCCCAGAACACTAACTAAAGTACAAGAAAAATGTTTCAAGATTAAGAGTTTTATTTTTACCAGTGGGAACTCTTACTCTGTCTTTATCATGCTCATGAATGTCAGAGGAAATGGCTATTAAATAAAAGCTGCATTTGAATTGAGTTTTTATAAGCTTCTCTAATGAACTGGTCTTTTTTGGTTCAGTATATTAAGTTTACGATTAGTCTCTGCATAGATCCTCTAAATACTGTATTTTTATAGAACTATGGATGTATCTTTTATATTTTCCTGATACCACATAATCATGCCATTTACACTATAAATTCTTTAAATGTTCTCAGAATATGCAATTAGAATTCAATTTCCATAGAGCTTTATCATACCTGAAAAATTTCAAAATACCTTCCAAATTAATGAGTTATTTAAACTCAAGAGTGATTGGAACTATTAATACTGTTTTTGGAAATAGCTAAGACTCAAACTAATAATAACATACTTAAAATGCAGCATTGTTCAGAATAACAGCATTTTCCTATCATTTCTCTAAATATATAACAAAACCCATCTCACATAGCATTTTGACAAGTACAGCAAGAATAATTGTTTTAAATCTGTTTCACCAGAAATCATTTCTCCCATATAGAATATAATGCCTAAATCTATTACATTTGATATAATATAAATTTGAAATATATTATTACATTTGAAATAATATAAATAAAAGAATTTCAATGTTACTGACCCTGCTGAAAGACTGTTTTACTATTTTGTTGTTGTTGTTAAACATTTATTTATTTATGAATACAGAACTGGGGTACAGGCCAGAGGTGCAGGGGCAGTGAGAGGGTTCACCATAGACAGAGTGGGGAGCAGAACTAGGCTACCCACAAAGTACACTGCTGAGGGGAGCAGCGGGGTAGGTCAGGAGGATCCTGCTGTGCCATGTGGGTCACCTCCTGGGAGGGGATCGAACTCATGCTGAAGTGGCTGTAGCTTCTTAGTGCTGTGCTTTAACCTACTTTAACCAGGGATGGCCGATCAGCTGATACTTATATAGGTTTTAAAATTAAGTCAGCTAGTGCTTGCTTCACACATTTTTATTTTTTTATGACTTGGTGGTGTTTTAAAAATAACTTGTCTTTGTGATGTTATACGTGAAATTGTAAAATAAAAATTTTAGGTCTGAAAATGTATAGTTTTATTTCACTAAAGGTAAAAAAATCCATCTTTAATATTCAATTTTCATTTATTTGAGTGATAATGAAACAAAGAATAAGCATTTTGTTCCTTGGAGAATATTTTTCAATTATTATTATTATTATTATATTTCACAATATAGAATACAGAGTTTATCACAAATTTTTGTGAAATCCACATGCATAGAAAAGCAGTACACTTTTTCTTATCTGGCATTCATATTTTATTATGTGTTATTAAAGGATTAGTGCCTCTCGTTTTATAAAAGAATTCTATCAGAGTTTTATTATAGTCTCTTGAAGGTAACCTTGATTTTAGAAGGTTATACTACCAAAGTGACAAATATTTAAATACATATTTAAATATATTAGATTTTCCAAAAGGCTATGGAAAGTTTAAGTTTAAGTAAAGCCTTTTTCGGTTGTGAGTTCTCCCTAACGGGTTGCCTCAAGGGCAGAACCCACATGATAATAAGTCATCTATTTCTTCTGTATACCTGAGCAGAATTAATTTATAATCTCTTCCAAAAATCTGTCCACAATATTTGACATACAAAAAATTGTATTGTTTCATCCCAAGCCCTTCTATGCAAAACCAGAATATTTTGAAGATACTGGTCATGCACTGTTTTCTATTTACCCATGACAAGAGCACCAGGTTACAAGCACAACAGCCTAACATCCAGAATGTGGAGTGTTGGAAGTACATTAGGAAACAGCTCCCCATCCCCTGAAAAGAATTCTATCTGTGAAAATTCATGCAGTGATATTTAGATCAAAGTTAAATGATTAGAAGTGTGAGGAGTAAACTGATGTGCTTCTGAAAGAGAGGGTCAATGGGTGATGTCAAAACACTGACAGAAATCTCTATTCATGTTGTATAATCAAACCAAATGGTGTGAAACAGTCTCTTGATGTCTCTGTTTTGAGCATATTAAACAATTAGAATGACCTCCTGAGATCTCAGGGTCATTTAAGATAATGACTGTGGGCTGTACAATAAGACACATTCCTCTAAAAGCACTGTCCAAACAAATTCTGACAAAATTTAGCATTCACGGACTAATGTGAATCATGAAATATAATTGAAAAGAAAATGCTATTCATAGACTTGTTACTAAAAGGCAAAGATGAAATCAGTCATTTTTAGCCATACAATAGTACATTCAGGAGTGAAAGGTTCATTTTCTGGATATGATGAATTTGAGATAACTGTATTATTCTCTGTGTGTATTGTATCACGTCACATCTATCTCTGCAGGATGGAGAACTGATTGATAACTTTCGTGTAGGATGATATTTTTTCAGGAAGTATGTATGATTAACTCAACATTCAATAATTTGAAAAACGTTCCTTTTGATTTTTTTCAATATACTTTTGATCTCACAAGAGTTTATCATGGACACCATGAGATTTTTAACATTTTCTTATTGGTAAACTTCCATAAGAAAATTATTTTTTACAAATTAAGATGCTTTATAATTATAGATATACATACACATAAACATAATGTATGCATATACATATATATACATATATACACCATATCTCCTATAGAACATAGAACATATAAAGTAGACATAGAATATATAAAGTCTTACTGTCAGGTTTTTTTTAAGGAAACCTGTAATTTTATTTATTTATTTTTTTATTACAAAGGTTATTTTTACATCATTTTTTTTTCCATCTCGATTGTAATCCCCTTGGGTTTCCCATCACCAAATCACCCCTGTGCAACCACCATAGTCCCGTGCATTTCCCTCCCTTCCTCCCTCCCCCCCCCCGTTTTTGATCCCATTCCCCACTCCACCCCCACAGAATGTCTCTGGTATATGGTTGTTCATTATTTTTGTTATTTTCTCGCCTGGTCCATTATACTCCTGCTATTAGTGAAACCATCCGGTATTTTTCTTTCTCTTTCTGGCTTATCTCACTAAGCATGATCTTTTCCAGCTCCATCCAAGTTGCTGCAAAAGACATGTGTTTCTCTTTTTTGGTTGCTGAGTAATATTCCATCGTATATATGTACCACATCTTTCTAATCCAGTCATCTACTTTTGGGCATTTGGGCTGCTTCCATGTTTTTCCAATTGTAAATAAAGCAGCAATAAACATGGGGGTACAAGTATCTTTTTCAATCAGTGTTTTTGTGCCTTTTGGGTAGATACCTAGGAGTGGGATTGCTGGGTCATAGGGAAGCTCCATGTTTAGAAGTTTAAGGAACCTCCAAACAGTGGAAACCTATAATTTTAAATGCTTCATAAAATGAGTGTTAATACTAAAAGGAACTGGGAATTTCCTCCTGTAAAATCTGTTTCAACCCCTAAACTTACAATCTTTAAAGTGACACAGTCATTTATAGCTGAGGGACTGTGGGTATCTCATGCAATCCTACTTTTCTCAGTAATACACATTTATACAAGTCAGCATCTAATTTCATAATACTATTTTAGGTATTCAGATTCCCCAAAATTTGAATTTTTATGGGAATAAAACTCAACATCACACTCACTTCTCTTACACGGGATTAGTAGTAAACCAAATGATGAGAACAGTTAGCCAGGGAGATCCTACAGGGAAGAGTACAAATCAAATCTCATAGTGCCCATCACTGTACTAGATTATGCAGATAAAAGACAAAGAAGAGGGCCCTCCCTGGTGGCACAGTGGGTTAAAGCGCAGCACTGAGAAGCTAAAGCCACTTCAGCATGAGTTCGATCCCCACCTGCCCCAGAGGTGACCCACATGGCACAGCAGACCTCTCCTGACCCGCCCACTGTTCCCCTCAGCAGTGTACTTTGCCGATCTATCTGTTCTGCTCCCCACTCTGTCTCTGGTGAATCCTCTCACCAATCCTGCACCTCTGGCCTGTACCCCAGTTCCATATGCATAAATAATTAAATTTAAAAAAGACAAAGAAAAAATGGCCAATTATAGTTCTTCTCTAACTGAGAGATTATCAGAAGAATAACCAAAGTGAACTTCTATCAGGTTATTCTAGAAGGGAAGGATACTACAGGAATAACAGAGAAGGGGGCATAATTCAATGTAAGATACCCTAAGGAATTGCTAGTAACCTTTGAGAAGGAAAGGTCTATGTACATTGAGTTCCTTCACTGATCCTATGACCTAGCACCCTTGAGTAAGTGTCATTTTTATCTTGGTCGTCTTTCCAATACCACTGCATGGTTTTCTGTCCTTTGTAAAAACAGTTTCTAAATATCAAATGCCTGGAAAATACTACCCTGATTACTTAGAGTGTCTTGTAATCTGTATTCTCCATTAAGAGGGTTCCCAGCTGCATGTGGCTATTTCACTTTATAGCTAGAATGATTTATGTTTTAAATAATTTAATACCAGGAAATTAAATTAAAAATCAGCTCCTTGATTGCAGTAGCTAAATATCAAATGCTTAATAGCCACACATGGGTAGTGGCTATGGAGTTTAACTGTGGAAAAAAAAAATCCCTCCATCATCACAGAATTTGTTATGGAATAACTCTGCTTTAGGTAGCCCCTCTGTATCCTCAGACACGCTTTCTAGGGATTAGTCCTTCTGCTTATTACAAACTGGTTTATTGAAATAATTTGGTGGTAACATGTTTCTGATCCTAACTCTGGCACTTACTATATTCTTTCCTTCCCCTAAACATCTGGTTTCATGATTTCAGAAATGAAATGCAAAGACTCTTAAGAATTAAATCAGAATCAAGGTACCATGTGGTTAATTAATAAGGTGTCACTGGGCAAAAGGTTAGCGCAGCCATGTTAAAGTGTTGGGATGCTGATGGGCTTCCCTGGTATCCAGGGGCTAAGTTTCAGTGTAATCATTGCTAAGGTCTTAGTTAGAGCCCTGAATAGGGAGGTGACCCACATGGCGAAGCAGACCTCCTGTCTCACCCACTGCTCCCCTCAACAGTGTATTTTAGTCGATCTGCCTGTTCTGCTCCCCACTCTGTCCCTGGTAAATCCTCTCACCCTCTACACCTCTAGCCTACACCCAGTTCTTTGACGTAGAAAATATGCGTGTTGGGATGCTACCCCACCCTTGACCCATTCATAGGAGCACAGAAACTCCAGAGAATAGCTCTTTACAGTGATCTGATTGCTTACTGCTCACTATTTTCTTAATCCTTAGAGAAATCACTCACTTTCACAACAAAAATTATCTTGAAGTGATGATGTGTGTAGTGGAAACCTAATTCATTTGTACCTGTTATGTTCATTCTGAAGCAGACACTGTCATCTTCTTTGCAGATTATGGTAGGGGAAGGAATTCTTTACTGCTGTCTGTCCAAGAGAAGAAATGGAGTTGGACTGGAGCCCAATATTAACGCTGGAGGCTGCAACTTCAATTCTTTCCTTAGAAGAGCAGTCAGATTCGTTGGTGCGTATGGGTACCACAGAGAAGGAATTTTCCCCCCTAAATAGAACTGTTATATTTAATTACAGATAGTAAGTCTTTAAAGCTATAATTTAGATGCATAATTGGGGTACATGAGTTTTACAAAAACTTAAAACAACAAAAATTGAATTTTGTATCTGAAATGTGTAATTTACAGTTGCAATCCTTGTTTGGAGAGTTCACATACAATGCATTTCAGTATATTTTTGCCTCAACTCTGGCTAAAACAAAAAGTTACTTTAAAATACCTTCACTGTGTTTATTTTCCAAAGAAGAGAATAAATGTCAGCAGGCTGGTATGAATGGATTACACTTCAAAAATTACTTTAGTCCCATTAGTGATTCCATTTCAGTACTCTGGTGTTCTCAGCCTGAAATTACTGCAGTTGAAAATGTCACCACCAACTGTTCCGTGTCTCCAAGTCTAGCTTAAAGTAATCATGAGGGAAGATCTTTTGCCTTGGTTCTATCCTCTGGCTTTGCCTCTGATTTTTATCAGACCCACAAAAAATCTATAAGCCCCACTGGCCAGCCTCTGAATCTTTGCTTTCATGTCTTCTGATTACCATGAAAACATCTTCAGTTGCATGAGTCCCAAGCCTTTTTCCCCCACTGAGCTGAGAAGACAAGTTCCAGCACATTATATCAACATGAAAATATTACATTCATTTCCACTAAGGAAGTAAAAAGTTATTTTATTCTAGCCTCTCAACTCAGAGGAGTAGATAACTTTATTTGCTATCTAGTGGATAATTAAATTCAATCTCTCCTCCAAAGAGAGGAAAAATCTAGTCTGGATCATGCTCTAAACTTTGCTGCTCTAAACAAGGCACACTCAAATAGTAATGCAAGAATACGTTGCTTAGACAGAAAACAAATTAAAGCAAAGAAATAAGACTTCAGGGGAGGTAGCTGATCTCAGTGAGAATTTTCCCGAAGATGATAAAAGCAGTGGACAAAGGACCTTGAAACATCTCTAAAATGCCTCATAACTGTGAGTCATTCCCCCCAAGGAGAACAGTGTTGCAGAATCAAGAGTCCCACCCTCCATGGGTCTGGAGATTGTCTTTCTGCATAGGTAAAGGAAGGCTCCTCCCCACCTAATTCCTACTATTCACCAAGATCATGCATGATACTGGAAATTAGAAATAAAGATCCCGAGTTGTGAAGCCCAGACAAGTGGGTAGAAAAGGAGTTGGGAATCTGGTGGTTATATGATGATAAAGGAGAGAAGAAAAATGCAAAACAGAGTAATAATGTATAGGCCAGCAATCTTGGTCTAGGCATTCACTAAAGAATTACTGACATGTCTCATAATTATTTCTGTGCACAACTCATGAATCAGAATCTACACATTAAATCAGAGTGAATCCAGGATGTCAAAATAACATAAAGGAAGCAAACAACTTTCAGAGAACATGGGAGCGGATAGTTTGATTTCCAAGAAGAAAGGCAGGCAAGGAACTTGAAGCAGGAGTGGAATCTGGGTGCACCAGCAATCATAAGCATTTGTCATTTGTGGCTTAAGACAAAAACGGGTAAAAGAGAGGCCAAGAAACATAAGAACTTCATTTCTGAAGTTCAGAGTCTCCCTGAGTCCTGACCTCAAGATCTGATCATTTCCATGATAGAAACTGTTCGCCCTTCTCTCTTTCATTTAGCATTTTTGATATGATGACAGTTTGGGGGGCTTGAGCCAACTCTGTGGGATTTGGCTGCTGTGGCTGCAGTTTGGGACCATAGAGAGAGCCCTGGAAACTGAAACATTCTAAACAATTTAAAATTATTCTAAATCTTGCTTCATTTTCTATATATTGCCTACCTCAGACACACAGCTGGTCACTTTAACATGATCCAGGCATCTGACAAATGACCTGTAGTTACCAATATTAAGAACTGGCCCTATTTAACCAAACTGGCATGAATACCTCCAGGTACTACTTCAGATATGCCTATTGCCTGTTTTTTAGCTTTAAGTCTGTGTTGAGAAGTTTAGGAAGTTTCTACATCATTCTTTCAAAATAATCTCAGAGAAAATGATCACCACAGATTTCAAGGTGGTCATAGTGTGTAATAAGTATGGTTGATGATGATGATGATGGCACCACATTCACAGTAACTGCCAATGTGGTAATACTTTCTTTTCTTTTGTTTATAGGGGTTCATATATTTGGATTGTGCTCCACAGCTCTTATTACAGATATCATACAGCTGTCCACAGGATATCAGGCACCATACTTTCTCACTGTGTGCAAGCCAAACTATACTTCTCTGAATGTATCTTGCAAAGAAAATTCCTACATTGTGGAAGATATTTGCTCAGGATCAGACCTTACAGTTATCAATAGTGGCAGGTTAGAAACTGAGATTTGAAAACATTCTATGTCAGCATTTTCTTGTTCTTAATAGCATGGTGAATCATCTGAAAGATTCCTTTTATAGTCATGACTGCTTTTATTTTTTCTTTTCAGTTCCGTGATCTCTTTAGCAATTGTACCACAGAAACCCATTGGTGGCTTACTCCAAATTTTCCTCTGTCTCCAAATTTCAGCTTCTTTCTTGCTATTAATCTTTATATCATCAACTATCGTTCATGTATTGTGATCTACCCTATGCTTGGTATGGTTTTGTTTGCCAGAATTGTTTTATTTTTATGTGTTTATAGTCATCATGGCTAACAAGCCATATATATGCGTCCTGCCCTGACTTAAGGACAGATATTAAGTGGAACACTAGATAGCTATGCTGTTTGTTATTTTATTATTTAAGGTTTTTTATTTTCAACATTACATGTTGATCAGAAAATCATGTGAATTTTCTCTTAATAGAGTTTTAAAAGGGATAATTTCTGAGATTGCATATTTTTTTAATTAACTGAAAATAAGGGATAAAATTCAGGAAGCTACCAATACATGAATCTTGTCTCAGTCAATAAGCAAAAACAATCAAACAAACAAAAAACTTGTATGGCAAGAGATAGTTATCTTAGAAGTTCAAAAGAAACAAATTACAGAAGGAAGAGCAATCAGTGATTTTTATAAGAATTGCATTTGTCATTCTCTGAGTTTGCAAAGATCAATTTAAAAGTCAAAACTAAGTTAACCACTGGAAGTTTAAGTATCAGAGCCTGATACTATGTAATATACAATGCAAAAATTCTCATAGAATTCAATAATTTTGAATCTATATTTAAGACTAATTTCTCAGTTGTTTCTCAGTCTTCCTATATTACCTTGTGTGTATTGAATGGTAACCTATTTTATTAGGAATCAAAAAATTAGGAAGACATTCATGGAACAGACTTTTACCCCAATATTTTCATCCATTAAATAAAACTCCATTCTTCCTTTCTCCTTTGTTCTGTTTCACCTTCCTCATATTGTTCCTTAAATTATTTTACTTAAATAAGATTCTCTGTGATTCTTGAGATGGTAATTATTTAAAAGAGAAACACTGCTACATTTAGGCTTTTCTTAAGTTTTCTAGACTATAAAACATTCTAAACTACTACTTTGACTAAATCGTCTTTCAAAAATTCATGAAAACAGGTGCCATATTGAGAAGCACAGAAATTTAAAAGCTAAATTTCTTTAAAATTCCATAAGTCTAATATCAAAGAACAATTATAATTTTCCAAACCATTTCTGCCTGCCATTCCAGTGGTATAACAAAGGGATCCTTGCAGTTAGCAGTTTATACTAGGAAGCATATCACTATCATTCTTTAGTATCAGTGCTGATAGTAGTATTTATCAAGCAGATCTTTCTCCAGAAAACTAAACAGAAATTAAAGTGATTGCTTATTGCCTGGTGGTTTTAAAGTTGAACATTTTAACCACTCAGTGTTTCTGAGGTGATTGTTAGCAGTGTCTCTGACTAGAAAGCATAATGGACTGTCTTCCCTTGGCAGAAAGTCATTCCCTTCTCAACACGCTACCCTCGCCGCCTTTGCTGCTGTGTACGTTTCGGTAAGTAACTGGATCTTTGATAGCAAGCTGTACCCTACAGAAAATCAGAGAAATGTAGCCTGTAGGTGTTTAATTAGATTACCTAGGCATGGATTACCAGAAGAGTAAATGAATCTTTCAGTGCAATGACATTTAAAGCAGATTGAATGCTACTATATACAGTAAAATACATTACAGGAAAATAATTTTTATAATCAGTATAATAATAACTCTATGGTATTAAGTATTTAGGTAGTCTGGTAACCCTTACTTAATGTATCATTATATTTCATGGGTGAATCTATGCACTGCATAAATGTTATAAATGAACAAAATTCATTAAGCATACACATACCTTACCTTCAGTATGAATGACAGTGAGTTCTAAGTTAATGTAGATTTGCTTCATGCTAAGCAATGATCTTCATTGTATCTGATTAGTACAATAACCCATGAGATTGGTGTGAGAAAATAGGTGTGGAGTTATGTGACAATAACTCAGAGACTATAATTCTGTTGCTTCAACTTTTCCCCCTCAAACTCCCATTTAGCTTGATGAGAGATATGTTATTTCTTTCTCACATACACATATTTCCTTTCTTTGCAGTTATGGAGCATAGAGCTAGCAGGGGAAATGGAACAAAAAAAATTAATGTCAAGTATATTGTTAGACTTCTGAATTAAATGTCTTATTCACTTATAATAGTGACCTTTCTAACATACTTAACCTATTTCTTTCATTTGTAAGATGTACTTCAATTCCACATTAACGGATTCCTCTAAGCTACTGAAACCTCTCTTGGTCTTCACATTTATCATCTGTGGAATCATCTGTGGGCTAACACGGATAACTCAGTATAAGAACCACCCAGTTGATGTCTATTGTGGCTTTTTAATAGGAGGAGGAATTGCTCTGTACTTGGTAAATGATTTAATATTATTATTGTTACAGCTATTATTATTTGTTAAATTACCACTTAAAACAGAAACATGCATAGACTTTTGTACTGTGAAGATTCACTTGCAATATACTTCATAGTCATGAGAAAATCTCTCACTGTATCTCTATTTTAATCCAAAACACATATCCCACTTTCAGAAAAACAGTGTATTGAAGTCTCACCATGGGCTACAATTTTAGAAGGAGTATTGCATTTTGTCCTTATGCCCACTACAAAAAAAAAAAAAAAAGTCAGGGATTAATTTTTACTAGTATAATTTTATAATTAAAAAATAAATATTAAGCATATAAGTTAGTGAAATTGTAGGTTTAGTGGAAGGTTAATTATGTACTTGCCCATTACAAATATAACACAAAACCAGCACCTAGATATAGCTATGCTCCAACTAATATTTCTTTCCAGTAATCTACTTTCAAGCTTGATCTTCCTTCAAGGGAAATAACCTCAGCAAAAGGAAACTGAGATTGTCCATTTCATTCACTCATAGTTTATTCATTCATTCATTCATTCATTTGTTCATTCTTTTCATACTTATTCAATTTTTAATCTGTGACTGTATTATAAAGGTACTACTATAAGAATAAGAAGGAGCAATCAGAACAGTAAGAGGATATATGTCCTTACAGAGTTTATAATGCCAATGCTAGTTAAAAAAAAAAATAAATAGTTACAATATGTTGATTGACATAGTAGGATATGAACAAAGTGTTTTGGGAAAAATAAATGCAATTAGAGAAAACTTCATAGAGGGGTGTGGTATTTTAAACTGAGAGTTTCTAAAGCTAAGGAAAGGCATTCAAACATAGGCCACAGACAGACCAGAAAAATGGACCTGTGAAAGTGGGTATAGAAGGGAACTAAAGAATGAGAGCCAATGGCCAGTTTTCTAACCGGGAAGACTGGGTAGGTGGGGACCTCACTGGCGTTCCAGGTAAAAGATAAAGGAGCTGCTGGAGAGCAGGAATGGGGCTTGACAGACTCAGTTTAAGTAAGCAAGTACTTGCAACTGGAGCTCAAAAGAGCAATCAGAGGTAGATAAATAGATTTGGAAATCATGAACATAATTAGTCCAAGTATTACTGTGGTTATAAGGTGTATAAAATTGCCAGGTCCCGAGAATAAAAAGGAGCCAGCATGGAAGTGGCCATAATGCAGGACATGAGAGGAGCTGACAGAGAAATAAAAAAGTCTAAAAAAAATTTTATAGCAGCGTATCTCAGTGATGTGATTCTAGTGCACTTGCGAATGGTCTTACATGATTCATCCCAAAGTAGTAAAAGTATTGAAATGAGCAATGATTTATTTTTTCAGTTTTATAAACTGGCCCAGTCAAGATGGATCTTAATGCTTTTGACTGACCTTCAGTGAAAGAAAAAGTGATCAAATTAAAGTTAGTGTGTCAGGAATCAAGCATGAATCTGGGTGCCATTCACTTGTTAATTGGTAAAGCGAGTTATAGGATAAATAAGGGAGACAGAATCATGCTCTTTGGTGCTGGTGTTGTCTTTGTGTGTGTGTCATTTATGGTGTGCTGGAATTAGCAAGGGGCTCTGTTGTCTGAATGATTTGGGACTGAATGGCCAATCTCCTGCTGCCTGGCCAAGTTATATACCCTATCAAAAGCCTCTTACTTCACCTAAAAATAATAAAAACACTCTAGATTTTTTTAATATTATATCAAGAAATAAGTAACTATTGATATATTTATTAAGCCCAGTGCGTTCAGCACTGACTGAATGCTGAACAAAATGTTACTTGTAGTGAAGTGGAGGATTTTCCTCAATATAAATATTTAAATACAATTTTTATAAGACATTAGGTAGAGATTGATTATCCTGGGATGCAGGTGTAAGAGCATAGAAAGATACCTAGAAGAAGATTTAAATTGGGAATTAAAGTAGCTGGAGAATCTGAAATGTGACTATTCCTATTTGTGTTCTATGCCCTGAAATGGGACGTGCACAGTTCAAAGCTAATGTTGTCATTCATTGCTAAACACTGTAAAATATTAATTCAATAGGATTCCTTTATGTTGATCTGAAAAGTTGAGTGTGTTAATCATTTACTGAAACTAGCATGCAAACAGCTATCTACTGCTGGTGTTTATCTCTAAATTAAACGTTTCAAAAACTGAAAATCCAAAGAGATTTACATGATTTTTATGTGTAAAAGGGTAAAAGTTCTGAAATGGAACTTTAGTCTTTTCCAAAATTTTAGACCCCAAATCTAAAATGAAATATTCATAGGTTGAGTATGAAGAAACAATAAATAACATTGAATTCAAATTGAAGTGTAATGGCATAGATTTGATCAAATATTACTAAGTTCAAATCAGGAAAGGTTTGAGCACACCAACCTCGGGACAGAGTGTGCTGTCCTTTGCAAGGCTACTGTGCACAATGCTGAATACACAGGGCTGTGCTTAATGTGATCTTAACAATCTGCATCTCTGAGTTCACTGCAAAAACTACATCATGTTTTATGAATGATGTGTTGATGTCGATTTCTCATGCCTCTTGTGCTTTCCATCATGAAGTGTGATTGACAATGGAAGTTAAACTAAATAATT